GAAATTCCCAAGGATTGGAGTGTTCAGAGCACTCGCCGGCAGCTTGTGTGGAAGACAAAGACGAAGAAGAACGAAGAGGCCATTCCAAACGGCGTCGTTGAGTTTAGCCAAAAGATCCAGCCACCAAGCTCAGCCTTTTTCCAAACGGTTAGGCCAGAATGCTTCCAGGCCTTCCAGCCACCACTTTTCAGTCCAGTCCAGTCCAACCAGCTGAGCCCCCTTTCCAGACCAATCCAGTCCAGTTGGAACCTTGGTCAAACCAGTTCAATTTCAACCCGGTTCAATTGACTTTGAAAGGCCTTATTTTGCTTTATCGGACTTCGATTCAATCCAGTCAAAAACCAAAAACTCTATTTTTCTAAGGGCTACCAAATTGCATTTTTAGAATCGAGTTTTGAGCACTTCTAAAAACAGTAAGCCTTCAGTGCAAGATCCTCTAGTGTCGAGAAGCCATTACCAAAACTAACCTAACCTACACATATTTTACATCAAAATTCACATGTTCTTGATTTTTTAACCCTACTTTTTGGTTATGATCAAAGTAAATATGTTTCTTTGAGATCTCTTACATATTTTCTTGAAATTATTTTGTTTGAACAATTATGAAACTATGATTCGTGATTATGTGTAGGTTTGATGGAAAAGGGTAAAAAGTATCTCTTGTATGGGTGAAGGTGATGAATGTGGCTTACATTCGACCATATATCATAGGATGCTTAGATGTGTTTCTTACCTTGAGGAGTTTAAAAGTTCTCTATCACCCATAGTAAAATTATTTGGTTTTTTGCGAGGTTCAAGAATTCGCACTATTATGTGTGTAGGTGGGCAAGTATATTCTCGATATGTGGATTCATGTTAGTTTACCTGCGTATATGAAATATAATATTTGTGAATAACTGTTACTTTGGAATAAGTTTTACTTCTGTAAACTATGTGTGGTACTGTAAATTTGAGATCTTATTAAGTGTCATTGTTTTATTTCAAAGTACTGTATGCTATCTTATCAATTGAGACTTATCTATTTTTTTTATTTTAAAATCTTGTTTAGGTTTTAGAAGGTTTTCCTATTGAGCTTATTTGCTCATCTTACGATATAAATATAATTTCAGTTTTGGCTTTGAGGTGACTGGAATGCTGAGGTGGATCTAGGAATGGATGCCTAGAGATGATTTCTTTAGAGGGTGTCTTTTTAGTTTAAAATTATGAATTGTGGTCGACTTGAAATAATGTTTCAGGAATATTTTTTTTAATAGTTAATTGGAAGATTATCGTTTTGGTTTTTGGATGTAAACTTAAAGATTTGTTTATGTTTCTTTTGGAGATTTATCGATTTAGTTATTGGATCTTGAATGATTTTTATTTATTTAATGGTACTTTAGTATGTTCTCATGGTTTGAATGAAGTATAGATAGTTAATGCCTTGAATGTGAAATTTTGGACGTTGCATAAAGAGAATGGTATAAAACATTTATATATCATGCCATATACACCTGAACAAAATAGCATTACAGAAATATGTAATAGGACTCTACTGGATATGACAAGGTCTATGATGGCTTATGCTAATATCTCCATCTAATTTTAGGGAAATGCCTTGTAGAGTCAAGACAAACACAAAACCATTGACCCATTATGAATATTGGACTGGATCAAAGACTGACATATCCAACTTTAAGGTTTGGGGGGTGCAAAGTACATGTACTTATTCCAAAGCCTCTTAGGGATAAGTTAAAAAGTAAGACTTGGGAATGCAAGTTGATATGATATGTTGAGAATGAAGTGGATATAAATTCTTTCTTTCGAATAAGTAATTTATTAAGAGCAGGAATGTTGTTTTTATTGAGTCTACCAACCAAATAACTCTCATTAATCAGGTCAAATTGTTAGATGATATAAATAGTGATATCACAAGTCCTGTTTATGGTATCAATGATCAAGAAATTGTTGATGAACAAGGTAAACAAGGTTGAGAAAAGTGGGAGTAAAAGGAAAAGGGTACCATCTCAATGATTATATGATCATTTCGTCTTTAGTTTAGATGAGAACATAACATTAGAAGATGGTCATAAGAACTTTACAGGGACAGTCAATAGCAGTGATACAGATCAATGGCTTCAAGCTATGAAAGAAGAGCTTGATTCAATTAACAAAAATGAAGTTTAAGATTTTGTAGATCTTCACGAACAAATGAAATCCTTTGGTTATAAGTGGGTCCTTAAAAAGAAATTGAAAGCAAATAGGTCTTTGGATAAGTATAAAGCAATATTGGTGGCTAAAAGGTTTACTCAAAAACCTATAATAAACTTTGTGGATACATATTCCCCGTTACCAAGTTTACATCAATTAGGATACTCATGTCGATTGTGGCTAAGACGGATCTTGAGCTACATCATTTAAATTTGAAAACAGCTTTCTTTAATGGTACAACTTGATGGTTTCAGGTTAAAGGACTTGAAATCTAAGTCTGTAAATTGAAAAGATCGTTGTATGGACTCAAACAATTCTCTAGACCATAATATTTAAAGTTTCACCAAGCAATCCTTGAAATAGGACTTGAAGTGTTTTGGACCATTGTGTATATATTTGGGACACGCCATGATAAACTAACTGTTTTGTTGCTCTATATAGATGATATTTTATAGATAAGGAATTGTCCAAATATGATAAAATAAACCAAAGCGTACCTGAGATCCAAATTCGAAATGAAGGACATGGGTGAGACTAATTATATCCTGGAAATTATAATTTCTAGAGATAGAAATTATACTCTTTTTGATCAAGAAAAGTATCTAGAAATGTGCTCAAGAGATTCGGTATGGATGGTTGTAAGTCATTGAGCACTCCCATCTGCATGGGTCAAAGTCTAAATAAAGATATGTGCCCTATTTCATATGAGAAAATATTTTAAATGAGAAAGGTCCCCCGACAATCAAGTTGTGGGTAGCCTCATGTATGTTATGATAAGAATAAGGCCCGACATTTGTCATGCAATAGGATTGGTAAGTAGGTATCAATCAAATTCAAGAAGGGCACATTGGCAAGTAGTGAAGAGAATATTTAGACACTTGAGAGGCACGACAGTATGAAATTATGTTTTGGATTAAATGATCTAAAATTATTGACTATGTGGATGCAACCTTTGCAGGTGATGTAGATGATAGAAAATCTATTAGTGTTCATATATTCTTATTTGGTGGAATGGTTGTTTCTTAGTCAAGTAAATAACAAGATTGTGTTGCAAAGTACATAATGGAGGTCAAATACATGGCATGCAGCACGGCGATTAATGTTGTTTGGATTAAACACTTTGTTGATAGTTTAACATTTGATATTTCTAGTAGGCCATTCAATGTGTTTTGTGACAATAAGTCTGATATATCTTTAATAAAAAGTGGAGCTAATAACTCTAAAAGAACACATATTTTGATGTACATTATCACTATATTCAAGATATAGTGGAGATGGGTGAAATAAAAGCCAACTATATCCTCTTGGGAGAGATGGTGGCCAACCCTATGACCAAGAAGTTAACTCTGAAAGAATTCATTGAGCACGTAATTGCAATGGATTTCAGAATCACCTAGGTGTTGCAGTGTTAGATGGTGAACGGCATCTTTAGAGAAATTTTGGGGACACTTAAAATTTATAGAAATGTAACTCTACCTGATTGGGGATACGATTGGTGAAATAAAAGGTAGATGACATCAACAGGCATATCAGGTTATTGCATGTTCATGAGTGTAAAGTCCACTTTGAAACACCATGATATCTTTTGCATAGTCACATAGGTGCATGGTGTATTAAGTCGTTGATAAGGTAAATCAAAGAAAGCCTCTGTATGGATCATAAAGGAAGTGTTTGATCGAAATTTCAGGTACAACATATTAATTAAACTTGTGTTTGGTTGAAGTCGTGAACGATACTAAATGTGTGGACCTCATGATCCCTAGTAAGGAGCATTGATGCCGATCACTTTGTTATAGAGTGAATCGAAGTCATTTGGAGTACTCTCTCAGTAAGGATAACATATGTGGAAGAGTGTAGTCAAACTCAATGGCCATAGTGGGCATGCAGAAGTCTATCGCCATGTTCTAACGTCAATCTGTAAATGATTCCAGGTAAAGAGTTGGTGAGGACAATAGTTTTTAGTACCAAAAATAAACACCAACTTGAAAAACTTTTAAAGTATGTCCATGTACATTCAAATGGGAGTCATAAGGTAATGAACTAATAGGTATGACCGATTGTTTTTTCCCGTGCACAAAAAAAGAGCGAAAAAGTTTGGATGCAGTTGAAATGGGCAACGGTTACACATGATCGTCGCGGTTGAATTCGGCAACAGATCCTGCCTGAGTGACCCTAACCAATCTATAAATACATCCGAGTGTTCAAAGGAGGCTTCACTTTATTCTTGATATTCCTCCGGTTATAATGGCCAACATGATAATTTGTTTTGATAATTTAGTTCTCTCCAAGTGCACGTGACCGACATTCTAATGCCATTTTGCCACTGTTCGGATAAACGTCCGGCACCATCACATTAGACCTATAGGGGATAAGTGAGAGAGATGGTTTGATCAAAAAGCGGACAAAAGATGTACATAACATAATAATCCAATCTGACAACACCCTTTGAGTTGAAAGAGTTCGCTGCTTCAGTCTTCCCCATGCTTGTCGATACAAAAGTACTAAGAATGGACTCAAAACATTCCCATGCAAATCAAATGGAGATTGAGTGAAAACTTGTATAAAACTTGCATTTGGGGTTATAGACGGTGATTTTTATATTGTTCTTTCATTGAAGTTGAAGGGGCATGATAGGGTAACCAATTATCTGTTGCAATACTTGCTTAAGGTCTTGTACTAATTTCCCTTTTAGGTAATTAATCTTTCAAAATCATCATGACATATAAATACAATAAACAAAAGTCAGGATCACATAGCAGACCAGTGTCGGTTAGAGGCTTAGCACCCTGATTTATTCTATGATCCCAAATTTTTGTACATACTATTGAGTGAGGCAGCTTATAAGCTTAAGCTTTCGGCTTCCCTGCCATCACACACACACACCGGGATGTTCATACACTTTCTATTCAACATAGCACATAAAATTTAAGGATGAGTATCACGGGCTCCGCGTCTCTGAACCTATGCACCGCAATACATAAGCACTTAAGAAGCATACAATTGAACAGTGTAAAAGGAGTCTAGATGTTCAATACTCAAAATGTACAAGCTTGAAAGTTGGTACTAACGAATAAGCTTTATGCCCATGCAATGTGGTGTTCATCCTCAGCCAAAACCGGTACCTATGCGACAAAAAAGCTAGATAAATTCCCGCATGAATTGCTTACCTCTTGCTACCTTCTTATTGTGCCTACAAAAAAAAGCCTGACTACTTCTAGTCCCATGGCGCTTCAGGATTTTCCCCTATGGATCAACATGTATTTCCCAAGTATTGCGTAATATGGATGACGAGTAACCAGATTACAAAAACTGAATCCAACGTTGCAAGGGTTCTAGTTTATCAAATGATTAAATTTTGTGTTGCATTTGTGTACTTGACATTAAAACAGAAGATCCTGCCAGACTCATCATTTGGCAAATGAACTCCTAGAAATGACAAAACTGCAGATTCCAAGGAAGCAGCAAATGCAGAATGCATTCTGCATATATCACCATTCATGGAATTCTATTTTATCTCAATTAGACTCCCATCAAAAAAGTAATTGAAGGAAGCATGGATAAGAACTTCCACCTTCTCATGTATGACACTGCATAGATACAGAAATGACTGACAAAATACATGAATAACAAAATAGTGGAGACCTTGTAAGTAGCTCTACTGTTAATATCACATTCTGAAGGGTCAAAAAAAGAATTAAAGAAATTTTAGTGTTATAATCTACAATGTTTGAGTATCACCTTTGGGTCCAATTGCAATTTAGTACTTGATCACATGGTGGCGTAACCAAAGGTCATACATAACCATATGGAAGGCATCATATCTGATAGGAGGGGAATTCCACTGAAAGTGCTTCTGGACCTGATAAAAACATGTCAACAAGATATTAAGTATAACCCTAATTAGAAACAAGTTTTATGTCACCTAGATCCTAATGCAATTGCAATCTCATTAAGAGAGAGAATATAGTGAAGGAATAGCTGCTTGAAATAAAATCATGTCATTTTACCTCTGTCAAATGTAAACATGGAATCACTCTTTTAAATAGTGTATTTACAAATGGAGATTGAACCCTTTTTCTCTAACCAAAAAGCATAAAAATGAAAAGATTACCTTAACTAAATTATTGTGTAGAGCAATAAACTTTGCATCAGTTATGTTCTTGAGAATTTGCTTCAGCTGATATACATCGTTCTCCTTGAGTATTACCGAGAATTTTCGCCAGTCAACAATATCATTGAAAGGCAGATCATAGTAATTAGACAGTATGACTGCAAAAAAGTTGCACCAAAATCTAATTAAGATAAACAATCATAAGACAGTGATAGGGGGGAAACAGCCCAGGAAAGAATAGTAACACTACGATTAGAGAGGCAATTGTAATGCAAGATTTGTAAATTCTCAGAGTCCAGTACTATGGTGTCCCTTCTAAGTTGCAAGAATATTTGGATAGTCATCAATCTTTCGGCATTACTTAACTGCCCTGGAGTTTAGGGTTAACTCATGGCAAAAGATGGGGTGAATTGTATGTCTGGAAAAGGACCACTCAAAGTATTAGGCTACACAACAGATTTGAACAGAAAATTTGAGGGAACACCTGAAACTATATACATGGTCATGCAATCATTGAGTGCATTGGCTTAGAAATTACAGCAAAGGCATTTGCAAAGTGCTTTCCCCAACATTATGCAATATGGATCTAGTCTTAGCACACCAGCATTGCATTACTCAATAAAGATGTAATGGCTGCAAGGTCCCTTATGGAGAGAGATATCATGGCAGCAAAGCTCCTTATACATGTTCCACCAATTATTCACAAGTCTGTTTATGAAGGCTTACATTCTACGCAGATGAATGTAGGGTCCGCTATATCTGGTTTGTTTATGAAAACTAATAAACTATTTGTTAAGAGGGAGTGAGGAACAATACAACCCTCCTAATTTTGAGAAACTATAGTATTCTCAATATCTCTTTGGCCTAAGCAAAATTCTGGAAAGTAAACCTTCTTACCCCTGCGTTTGTCTCTGTTTTATCCTTGCATCCATAATAAGCCTCTCTCACTATCCAATTGAGCCACACAGGGGAATAGACAAAACCAAAAATAACCAATATATACTGTTCCAACTACAAAAAAGAATTAAGTTCTCACCAGGGATGCATCCATAATGGATTGAATCTGCTATGCGAGCACTGTTGACCTGGGAACCACCAGGGCAGATGCAGAACTTAGTCCTATAAAATTTCTTTTGATATACTAGATGTCCAGTAGCTCTGTTTATTCTGTTGTTCGCAATATCAAGTTCTGTGTCATTCTCCCATTCACGTGCAAGTATAACTCTAATTTTAGAGTTCCTATGACCAGCCCAAAAACCAAGAGTCGTCCTGCAAAATCTTGCCATCAGTTTCACACAACATATTAACACGTAAGATAATCAATGTACACACGTAAGATAATCAATGTACACAAAGACAGTACAATAATCACTACGAACTCCAAGGTCCGTAATTAATCACTATGAACTCCAAGTTCTGTACATGGACACAGGCTGAAAGGGATCAAAAAAGAGGGGATGGCCCCTTGGCCTCTGATGTCCATATAAAGGACACACCGAGCATAAATACCCTCTTTTTAACTTCTATTCTGATAGATTAAACCCCCGTACACTTCTAATAAGAGAGAACCTTCCTTTTTACAGAACTGAAGCCACAAGTCTAAATCAACGTACAAGTTAGCACTATTCAAGGTCGCGGTATCGGCCATCAACTCGGAGAGGTATGAGACACATCGGTCGTGGCGTCGCGACACGGTATTGGGCAATACGACCTAAAAGAAAATATTGAACATGATGAGAAATTCAGGTCATATCACCTCGTCATGGAACCGTATCGGCCAATTCGGTGATGATATTTCGGCGATCCGAGATTGACACGAATATAACTTGGACGACTCGGCCGAGTTGTGCGAAACTCGGGTTTATACATATCGTGTAACAGTATCGTCTCCGAAGATGTCGAGACAAATACGACCCAGCCGACTAGTATTGGTATTGGCCGATACTTTAAACCATGAGCATGCCAAGGCCTTAAGGTCCATATGAGATCCTGACTATGTCATTGCACGTCCACTAATCTCCTAAACTAGATAGGTCTGGTTCTTTGGGCATTGCTATACCTCACCACGTTTATTTCATGCATTTTCATCCATGATTTCCCCTAGAGTAAATTTTCCATAATATAGCAACCAAGCAGACAATTTCAATTTAAAGCAGATAGGAGTTTTCCAATTTGAATAATTAATTGTGAAATTTAAACAAATAGTATTAAACTCGTGTTAAATTCTTTGATGGCAGCTGATGAGACATGAAGAATGAGCCCTGCCAAAAGAAAAATCCACATCAAAGGCATATAACAAGGACATTAGCTGGCAATGAATGAATATTGCTCTCAGTGACACATTTTTCTCCATGAAGCGCAGTGAACCTTTAAAATTTGACACAGTTATGAACCAAAGCTCCAAAATAATTTAACAGATTTCTCCTTTACCCAGGTACATAACCATTGACAGAAGGTAGGAATTTCTAGTCGATTTACCACTACCAAGATGGAAACAAAATGCAGTTTGATAACAGTGAGGGATAACCTAGATGACGAGTACAAATAACCAAAAACATGTTAATGGTGAAACTAGATTCCAAATGAGTGAAGGATGTCACAAATATTCATCCCAGCACAGCATCAATAAATCAACACCTTAAAACCACAAAATAGTACCTATTTTCGACATCATTTCCTCCAGCTGGAAGAGCAAATGGTTGCAGTACTTGAGGGAGAGCAACGTCCTTGTGTGGAATGAATCCAACATCATAGCTTGGGGAGCACACAACTCGAATCGAATTCTTTACAAGAAATTGAAGTCCTTCGGTTGCCCTCACACCAACATCATGACAAGTGACAAAAAAATGATCTGCACCCAGGGTTCTATTCCAGTATGGATACTTGGATATCAAGCTCTCCACATAGTTTTCAACAATGATGGTCATGTTCTCATAGGATGTTCCCTGCAAGTTGTTATACAAGGATCACAACATAACACTATAGAAGAGGCTTAAATCCCAGAGAAACTTCGACAAGAGAGCTAATCCCATTGCAACTTAACAAAATTTACCAACATTAGTCAAGTTGAAGGGATTGTCGTACTCACATGCATATATTCTGGGTTCATAGGCTTGATTAAAATTCACATAACCAAGTATACGAGCACTCACAGTAGAAAAAGATTCACAAAATGCTATAAGAGCAATAATTCTTACAAACAGGGGGCATATGATAAATTATGAGAGCAGAAAGAAAATTGACTTGCAAGGAAGAAGAAATAAGATAAGGAGAAAGACATTTTGAAATACACGTTACATTAGCTGGTTGACAGAGAAGAAAAGACTACTTTTAATGACACAAACGAACATAGATTTTCCTAACCCATGCAACCACCTACCTGCCAAAAAAAAAAAAAAGAAAAGAAAAATAGTAATGAGTCAAGCCCAATACATGAAATTGGAGTTGTCAACCTGCCTACCTACACATTTCCCACCTGAAGACAGCTTTAGAAACACTCTTAATGGACCTCGGTATTTCAGGTCATTGAGCATATCTGATATATTTTTGGAAATACCCCCCAAGGAAAGGTTAATTTGTTGATTTCAATAGCCCTAGCAAAATGTTTATCAACCCTATTACCAACTTTATGCATCAGAACATTCATAGGTAAAGACAACAATCAATACACATGTATGCAGTTCTAAAATATCACCAGGAAGTGATATGTCAGATTGGTGTGAACAAAACAATACTGAATCTCCTTTGCAGTGGTTGTATGTCCTCAGTATGAGCGGTCTTAATTGTTGTACATTTGTTGCAACCACAATAATTCTCATAGTCAACAAGCCCAAAAATTCAAGCAGGAAAGCCCATGCAGAGAACCTACAGAAACTGATGCAAAGCATGATAATAAGAAAAGGAACAAACTGAAATCTTCCTTGGAGCCAGCTTGAGATTTCAGCTAATGAACTTCATCCTGTCCTACCAGAACACAAAGCACACAAGAAAATACTTTTGATGGACAAAAGAAAACTTCCAGTAATTTGGCACAAATAATGCTTTTCTATCTTGTGATTTCATTCCAAAGGGCATTCATGCCTACACTAGAATGTTCTCTAATCTCATTTGACTGAATCAACTTGTTTCTTGAACAATTATCTCGTATGAAAAGCCAAAATTCGACTTATAACAAAATTCTTGTAAATTTTTCCATACATTAAGACAAACTTGCATGATAAAGTTCAGAGAGAAGAAGAAGAAAGCTTAAGAATTTTATTGGTACTGCAAGATTACAACAGACTAACAAACTCTCTGTAAGTAACTAACTGTACAACTGTCAAGATACTCTAACTAACTGAGTCTGTGAAAACTCTTTTCTTATAGGAAAACGATACTGAGCTGGAGTGTAGGTGATATTGTGGACTGGATTCTGACGATGTATCTTGTGAAGAGGCTGTTGTAATTTATGAGTAATCAGACTTGTGAACTATAGTTTATCAGGCCCTCTCAAACTGATGGGAGGAGGACCAACCATTAGTTTAGAACAGAGAGAAGAAAAACACATGGAAGAAAGTTATTTAGTAAAAATGTCAGCTAACTAATCTTCGGAGGACACATTCTGAACATCAAGATCTTTGCGAGTAACTCTCTCTCTAATAAAATGTTTAGTCCTTGCATGAAATAATGGGTTGGATGCAAGAGAAATGGTAGAGATGTTATCACATAATAGACGAGGTACTTGAGGAACAAAAATTTGGAGATCACAAAGAAGAATGCAAAGCCAATAAAGATCAGCAGTAGTGATGGCAAGAGCCCTATATTATGCCTCTGTGGAAGATCTAGTCACTGTCTGTTGATTCTTTGCACCCCAATGAATGGGATTAGAGCCCAAATATAGATGAAATCCTGATGTACAATGCCTGCCAATGGGATTCCCTGCCCAATCAGCATCAGAAAAGGGAATGAGATCAAGAGAACCATGTTTATATGGTAAGCCATATGAGGTAGTGCCTTTCAAATAGCGAAGAATACGTTTGGCTACAGCCATATGAGTATTAGTTGGATTGTGCATAAATTGACACTCTATTAACAGAAAATGCAAGTTCTGGTCTTGTAAATGTAAGATATTGCAACGCACCAACTATACTGCGATAAGAGGACGGTTAGAGAGAGGTAAGCCACCAATTTTACTAATACGAGAAGAAGTGGCACAAGGAGTAGAGCAAGGTTTGGTGGCATCCACATGGTTCAAGGTCGCAGTATCAACCATCAACTCGAAGAGCTCTGAGATACATCTGTCGCAGTGTCGCGGCGCGGTATCAGGCGATATAACCTAAAAGAAAATGTTGAACATGACAAAAAATTCAAGTCATACCGCGGCGTCATAGAACCATATTGGCCTTTCGGTGACGATATTTCGACGATTCGGAATTGACTCGGATATAATTCGAACAATTCAGTCGAGTTCGTCTGAGTTGTGCGTGACTCAGGGTTTATATATATCGTATAACGGTATCGTCTCTGAATGTGTCAAGACAGATATGACTCGGCCAACTCGTATCGGAATCGGCCGGTACTTTGAACCATGATCCATATGAGCTCTAACTAGGAGATCAGAAGCATATTTTTCCCGTGAGATAAACACACCAGAAGTAGAGGTTTTAATCTCAAGACCTAATGCAAGAAGCCAAGGTCTTTCATGTCAAAGGCAGTACTAAGTTGAGAAATGATAGAATTGATGTATGTAGAATTTGTATCTGTGATGACAATGTCATCAACATAAAGAAGGACAACAAGAGAGGTACTAATGGTTCTAACAAATTAAGAGGGGTCAGCTAAGAAGTGAATTTCTCAAACCAAGCCTGAGGTGCATGTTGGAGACCATAGATGAATTTGCTGAGCTTACAAACAAAATAAGGTGAAATAGGATCAAGGAAACCACGTGTTTGAGTCATATAGACTTCTTCTTTAAGAGTGCCATGCAAAAGAGCATTCTTCACATCTAATTGCCTCATAGACCATACAAAGTGAGCTACCAAAGCAATTATAACTTTTATTGTTGGTTGTTTAGCAACTGGAATGAACGTTTCTTCATAGTCAAGACCCTCATCATGATAATATCCCTTGGCAACAAGCCGTGCTTTGTAACGAGAAAGAGTCCCATCAAAATTATGCTTCAGCTTATAGACCCACTTACATCAGATAATATTCTTATGTGAAGGAGGAGTAACCAAGGTCCAAATAGCTTGCTTTTGAAGAGCTGAAAACTCGTCAGCCATTGTTGTACGCCACTTAACAAATTTGGAGGCTGTAGTGAAAGAAGAAGGTTCCAAAAAAACTAAGGAAGCAAGAAAGGCCTTCTTCTTTGTAAAGCCTGACTTGGAACGAGTATGCATTCGATGTTGTATTAAGAGAAGAGACCAAAATAGGAGTGTCAATGGCAGCCGAAGATGATTTGCAGGTATGATGTGAAGATGAGCAAAAGAATCTAAAGATATGGTGAGATGTTATGAAGTACGAACACTCTTAAGAAGGTGTCGTAGACGTGTCAGCCACCGACACCCTTTGGACACTCTCGAACACGTGTTCGATACTCTTTTTTCTATGTCTATAATTAAATAATAAAAGTTTCATTTCGGACACGTGTCCGACACTTATTTGGTGACATGTCCAATACTTCTTTAGGTCATATCTAATACTAAACTATAAACATACGCTAACATATGATTAACAAAACTTAAAAATTTGACTAATAAATATCTTATACTATAAAAGAATATATAATTACCAAAACTAGACATATTAAATTATACTCGAAATATCTATACTACTTTAAATGTCAACAAAAATGAAAAATTTTTGTTTAACAAAAATAACCTTAACAAAATAACTAATGTCTATCATACCTTTTTGTAGTTAATAACATTATTAAATTATATGCAATTGTCGCATTTATGTGGATTGAATTGAGTCATTGGTTGCTACTTTAATTCTAAAAAAAATTGGTGACGGTTAAGCTACTATATTAATATTTCTATATCTAAACTACTAATAAAATCAATCTCATTAATTTGCATACACTTTGGGGGCCATGGAGTTGGAATTTGAAAAGAACCCATTCAAACATTAATTCATCCGGCTGATAGTCATTGATAGCCCACTTTACCACTATTTTTGACATTGAAGAACTTTGAGGGCTTGGATCTTTAAAAGATGGATGAGGTGAGTTCCAGAAATAAATCTCATTCACTATTTTCAATTGATGTAGTTTTGAAAATGTTATTTGATTTGTTATGTTATTTGCAAGCTAATGACTCTGGATTAGTTTCATATGTTGCTAGTCAAATTGATCGTTCTCTGAGCTGGAAGGTACGATGGCCGGGGCTGATGGTAAAATGAATATTTTTTGAACTTAAATGGTCATGGACATACTTTCAAAGTCTATAGGTTTGCAACTAAGCACTAATATTCTTCAGCCTTTTGAGGTCATTCTTTCTTCTGACTTTCAAAAATCTTAGATACACCATTGAACTTAATTCATATATGATGTAAATTGGTGGGAACTTCATTTGAGAAGTTGGGAATGGATTTAGCTAGAAAGTTTGAGACTGATTATTTAATGAAGTATTGAACAATACTGGATAGTTGACCATTTTTAACAACAGCATTTAGAAAGACAATATTTCATGGTTACATCAATTTGTTATTTCTATCTCTCTTTCTTGAAAAAGCAAGGCTTTCGTTTCAATTGTATGTGGAGCCTGGTTTTCATTTCAACATCTTGGATATTTTTTGTTAGATAATAATATTATGGTATGAGAAGTTTGGTAACCTAAAGAACATGTGTCTTAAGTTGGAATCTAGTTTATTATTTATGTTTCAATGGAAGGTATTTCAAGAATAATTTGGTCAAGAAGTACTTTGCTAAAAATAATAACGCAAAATGGTCCACGTGCGACGCACGTGTGCACCAACTAGTAATAATAAAAGAGGAATTAAGAAAATAAGAACAATCATTCAAATTATATATGTTGGGTACACGTTATCTACAAAAAAAAAAAAATTATAATTATTGACTAATATGATGCTTTGGTCCAAAAATTCACTGTAGATTACTTAAACATAATATTTACCTATTATAAAATATTGAGTTTCCTATGATCAATGTATCATTATCACTATATTTGTAATAAATTATATAAGTTTATATAAAAAACACAATTATTTATAGTGTGTCCCCCACGTGTCTGTTTCCTACTTTTTTTTAAAATGTCGTGTCTGTGTGTCCGTTTCATGTCGTATCTATGTCTCATATGCATGTCCATGCTTCTTAAGTGAGATGAGATGAAGAATCAAAGGGAAAAGTAACAAATGGAAGTAAAGCAGAGAAATAATGCTGATAAAAAGGAGAGAGATGAGAAGTAGTAGGAGCTGGTCCTAATATAGAGGGATTAAGAGAATTGTCATTAGAAGTATTACTAGATAAAGAAAATGAAGCAAATGGAAAAAGGGACTCATCAAACACAACATGACGTGAAACAATAAAGCGATTGGAAGATGGATAAAAACATAGAAAACCTTTGTAGTCAAGAGTATAGCCAAGGAAAACACATTGTTTTGTTTTAGGTTGCAACTTGTAATAATTATAAGGCTACAAATATGGATAGCAAGCGCATCCAAAAACTCTTAGAATTGAATAATCAGGTGCAGCACCAAATAAGAGCTCATAGGGAGATACATGTGCTATGTTAGGACTGGGTAGCCAATTAATCTAGAAGATTACAGTGGCAAAGGCATGAAACCAAAATTTATTTGGTAGTGAAGCAGTAGGAAGAAGAGAAAGAGCAGTTTCTAGTATGTGGCGATGTTTTCCCTTAGCCACCCTATTCTGCTGGGGTGTATAAGGATAGGACTTCTGGTGTACAACACCATGCAAGCTGAAATAGTTGCAAAGCTAATGACTGGTGTATTCACCACCACCATCAAATCTGAAGGCTTTGAGTTTAAGAGATAATTGTGTTTCAATGTAAGACTTAAATTTGCAAAATACAGGAAACACATCAGACTTGTTCATTAAAGGATAAATCCAAGTATACTTGGTACAATCATCAACAAACAAGTATAGTAACAAAACCATTCTACAGAAATTTCTAGGGAGGTACCCCATACATTAGTATGAACAAGATCTAAAGGATGTAAAGAAACTGTTTTTGAAAGAGTAAAAGGTTGCCTAGACATTTTTCCATAAAGACAAAACTTACAAAGACAAGTAGTAGACTTAGAAACAGAAATAGGAGTCTTGGATCTTTGCAAAGCGTGCTAAACAACCAAATTGGAAGGCCCAAGACGTTGATGCCAAAGTTAGTGAGGTAAAGATCTTCCTAGATTGACACTAGCAGACATAAAAGCATGCTTGAGTGGTAGAGTTGCAGCTGAAGAAGAGAAGGCATGAATGGGATAAAGACCATTCTCATTCTTGCCTAGGTAGAGCATTCTCCCCATAAGGATGTCTTGAATTTCAAAGTTATCAGAGAATCAAAAATAAAACAACAGCTATTGTCTTGGTAGAGTTGATGAACAAAAAGAAGATTTGATGAGATAGAAGGAACATGAAGTAGGTTCTGTAAATTAAAGGAGAGTGAATTTGTATGTAATGTGGAATAACCTGTATAGGAGATTTGTAAACCTTCTCCATTACCTATAGCCATTGTATCTGAACCATTATACTCAGCTAGAAAAGAGAGGTTGGCCATCTCAGAGGTGATAAGATTTGTAGCTCCAGAATCGGTTAACTAAAGATTTGGATTGAAAGTAGAATTACCAAAAGTAGTTGTCATGGCTGTAAGATTGGGCGAAAGAGTCTTGCCTTGATATGCATAGTTCATGCGATCATAACGATCAACAGCAGAGTGGTTAGGCTTATTACAAATTTGGCAGACAATTTTGTGACAAGAATTGGAGTTTTCAGGTCTGAAAGAATGAGAAAAACCTTCAAATTGTGGTGCTAAATTAGGTGAATAAAGAATTTGAGGTTTATATCCAGAGTTGTTACCAAAGTGTTGCTGATGAGATCCTTTACCACTGTTTTGGCCACCACTACAATTATTTCTTCCATTACCTCTGTTTGAATAGGAATTACCACAACCTTGATTATTTGGAGAGTAATTTCTTGGTTGATAAGCAGTCATGGTTATAGGAATGTGCTGAGATTGATTGGAATTATGAACACCTTCAATCGAGATTTCTTTGGCATGGAGGAGAGCATGTAACTCCTCGAGTGAGATAGCTTGAGATATGGTTCTGGTGAAAGTTCGAAAGGCATTGTAATCAACTGGTAAATCATTCAACGTATAGATGAGGATGTCTTCATCATCTACCATGACTCCTACTGTAGCTAGCTTATCATGAGATTCTTTAATTCGTTGGAGATATAGATCAACAGAATCAAAACCTTTCTTGATCGTTTGAAGATCTGTTTTCAATTGAATAATACTTGATCAAGAGAATGATGAAAATCTTCTCTCTAGTGCTAATCAAATATCTCTAGAAGTTTTGTATCCCACAATGAGTGAGATTGCAGATGAAGAGAGTGTCACATTAATGAGAGTCATCAAAGCCTGATCTTTAGTCTCCCATTACCGATAACTCGAATCAATCTCTAAAGTGTGAACTCCAAGATCATCAAGAACATACTGCGGTGGAGAAGACAAAGTTTCTTCAACATAACCTTGAAGATTATGTGCTCGAAGTATGGCAAAGATCTGGAATCTCCAAGGCACATAATTGGTGGAATCAAGTCATAAAGGAATCAAATTACAGATATTTAAGAGCAGAAAAATTGGAGAATGAGAAGAGGTAGAAGAAAAAATTGCAGATGAAGTTGCAGAAGAAGTTGTGGACGAAGTAGTTTCTCTCTTATGGCTCTAATACCATGATAAAGTTCAAAGAGAAGAAGAAGAAAGCTTAAGAATTTTATTCAATACTTTCTCAAATCACATACTGGGGCTTTACATCACTATTTATAGAGAATACATACATCACACTTTACATCACACTCTCAAGATTATAACAGAATAACAAATCGAACTAAGTAACTAACTGTACAGCTGTCAAGATACTCTAACTAAGTGAGTCTGTGAACACTCTCTTCTCATAGGAAAACGATAATGTGAGCTGGAATGTAGGTGATGCTGTGGACTGGATTTTGGAAATGTATCTTGTGAAGAGGCTGTTGTAATCTGTGAGCAATAAGACTTGTGAATTGCTACTGCTGCTGCTGATTTGTCATTACATACTACTGCAGGCATACAAGACCATCCCACAGAATGGCAACGCTTTGATTGCTCCATATTTACATGCTGCATAGCATCTCAAGTACACAATAAACCTATTTTCCCCTTTTTTTTTAGGTTAAAAAAATTAGAGTCCATCAACAATATTCAATCAGCAAATCAACTATGCTTTATTAATCAACATGGTGGATTCACCAACATCATGATGTTACTGATCACTATTACTGTACACTGCAACAATAGCAATATTCAATCCAAATAGTCACAAGTTTCCACAACAATAAATGCCCCATATCACATTATCAAATATATGCATCAAACAAGGCACCACACTAGGCAAACATAGGTTAGGTTATAGCACTATAAGCCATGTAAAGACCGGGAAAATTGAATCTACAGTCAATACCATTCACAGCCGACGATGAAAAAATCGAACACACTGTACCTTCCCTCTCATCTTATGGCAAGAGATCGGAATGAAAAAGAGGTCAGCCTGATCCGGATCATCCGTGCGGAACTTACTCTCTCTGATATTCTGAAAGAAATATCCCTCGCTCGCATACTTTCCCGTAAGCTTCCTCGGCTTCTGATAGAACGTATTTGGATCACCATCTGGGTAGATAAAAACTTTGAATCTCCTCACCATCTCCGCATAAGTCAGCCTAAATATCTCCGGCGAATGATACAGATCCGGTAACTCCTCCTCCACATTATTCTCTCTAACCACCTAAATTCCGCAGATATAATAAAACACAGAGAGACAATAGTGAAATTCAAAAATCAAGTGTTTGTTTCTCGAGAAAATAAGAGGAAAGTGAGCATATACCTGAGAAGTATTAATAGGCAAGAGTGTCTGACGAGGCGAGCTGGATTGGAGAGTGGGGGAATGGAGGGATCTGAGAGAGAGTGATGTGAAAGAGACAAGGGTTACGATTGCGAGAGTGAGGAACGAACTATGCAGAGTGCATACGGAGGTGGAAGACGGTGGCTGTGAAGGTTTCGCCGCCGACATTGCCGGAAAATATTCAGCCGGAAGTGGTGATTTCCGGCGAGTTACTTCTGCAACGTGACGGACTATGCCAGTCTGGGAAGGAGTGTAGTTGGTGTTACTTCCAGAATTTCACTAGCCTGTGTTTGGTACGATGGAAAGAATGGTGGATGGAAAATAGAGGAGAGAAAATGGAGGGAAGGAAAGGTTTTCCCTTGTTTGGTATGGAAGGAAAACGGAGGGGAATAGAAAATGGGAAGGAAACTTAATCCCCTCTGTCCGCCATTTTTTTTCCTTCCGGTTTTGGGCGGAAAGTGGAAGAGAAGAAGGGAAGTTTAAGCTAAATTACTATTATGCCCTCTTGTCCAGCGTCTGCGAGAAGAACGCTGCTTGATCGTCGATTCCTACAATTATTAGAATACAAACAAATGAAAGCCTTACAAAATTAGCAAACCCTAGAAGGTCAAACAACAATTATTCAAAAATTAGGAGATGAATACAATCATATACACAAATATATACATACAAACCTGAAATTCGAGAAAATGGCCCCTTGACGAAGCGCAATACAAGGCTTGATTTACCAGCCCCCCGTGTGATCTTCTTCGCAAATCGTCAAAGAGGCCGCAAAGCGTTTGGGAGAGAGAGAAGAGGGGATTCGGCTCCTCTGCGGTAGGCATTTTGGATTTTTTTTTTAATTTCCCAGGACCAAAACGACGCCGTTTTGGTACTTTAAATCAGTATAGACCTTCTGTCTAGGGTTATCAGAACCGGACCGGACCGGTTCAACCATGAACCGGGATTTTAACCGGTCCAGTTCCTTAGTTGAACTGCTTAAGGAAGCGAATCGGCTAAAAATCAAAAAATCGGCCTATTTTTAACAAAAACCATGAACCGACGGTTTTATAAAAATTGGACGGTTTAATGCTTATTTAAAAATTAAATTACATAAATAAATATTTTTGCCCTAAATCAGTAAATATTTGATTTTTTATAATCTTATGCTTGGATAAATTATAAATGACGCCCTTTCTTTTTTTTATAATTTACTTGAACCTCTTTACTTTGCTTTAAAATACAATAATTCCTACTTTGTTACTTAATTTCATTAATTTTATGTCAAATTATATGTATTTTTATACATACTTTATATTTTTTAGCTAAATTATTAAGTTTTATAATTATTATATATATATTTTTATTATATGACCGATCCGACTAATTGACCCAACAGTTGAACCAGCGAACTATTGACCCGATCCCTTGCCAGTTTGATGACCGGTCCGATTCTGATAATATTGCTTCTATCTTTTCTTTCTCCTGCTTCTTCACAGCGCCTGGTTCTCTCGCCTGGCCTAGTTCTCCCGCTTCTTCAAACTTCTCCATCTCCGTCTTCATCAGGTTTAGTTCTCCTGACTTCTCCATCTTCTTCTCCAACTCAAACTTCTCCACTGTTTTTCCCTTTACTGAGACACAAAGCTTTAGTGGGTATGTTGTTTCTATTGCTCTTTCTCAATCAATGCTGCCATATAATCATTTTCATTTCATAAATGTTACTTCAAATAGTTGTAGTTTTTCTTTCTGAATTTACTTGTAAAGATGTGATTTTTAGTGAAAGTAACTACTCAAATGACTGCAAGTTTGTTTTGATTAGACTTGTTTGAAGTTTATAAGTAAGAACATAAACTTTAGAGTTTCTTTCTGGGTGTTTAATTTGGAAGGAGTAAATGATTGTTTTGGGTATGAGTTATAGGCTTTTCCAAGTTGGGATTTCTTCATTATTGTTCAAATAAAAAACACTAGTTTTTCTGGGTTCTGTATGATTGTAAGGGATTCCTCCTTCATAAATATCTTCTGTGTTATTACAATGGATAATGGAGAAATATGTAGTCTTTAGAATTTCTGGTACAAGAATGAAAAGAAAAAGAGTTCCAACTATTACAGGGATTCTGTTTGGAAAGAACTGTTCTCTTGGACATGATTTTTTTTACAAAAAGTATGTGTATTAGTCGTTTGCCAATGAGCGTATATCATGACCAAAGTGAATGGCGAAGGTGGACTCCAGTAGCCGACCCAAATGATTGAGACATTACACTTGGTTTGGTTTAATTTGATTTGATTTATCAATCTTTTGCATACTTTAGGAAAAAGTACTAATATTAGCTCTGCCAATGGAGTTTTGGCACCACCTTAGCCCTCCTAGAGTTTTATCATGCTTGATTTTGTTGTCATGGTTTTTCTATTTGATCTGGTTTTGCAAAAAGATGATAGTTGTACATGTTTTCCATAGCCATAAAACTTCATGCCAATTTCTTTGTACATGTTTTTTTTTGTTCTTGTTGGCTTGTTAATGGAATAATGATTAATTTTCTTAAGAATTATGTAACCTTATGTACATGACATCTACTTCCATCTATGACTGCAAGTTCCATCTAATTTCATTTCAATTAAATTTCTTATTGTAGGATACTATGATGGATGATTTGGGATTTAATACGACTGATAATATACCTCATATTGATATGCAATTTGATGCGGATGAAGATGCTTATGCGTTTTACAATAGTTATGGAGGGTTTGTAGAATTTAGCGTGAGGAAAGATTTTCAGAATAAAATTTTGAAAGATGACGTTGTTATTTATAGAAAATATATTTTTTGTAAACAAGGTCCAAGAGGTTGTGATAAAAGAGAGTGTCAAATAAAGAAGCCTCGAGTAGAGACAAGAACAAATTGTCAAGCTCATATGTGCATATCTCTTAGTAAAAAAATTGGTAAATTTCTTGTGGTGAAATGGGACGACAACCACAACCATCCTTTGCACCTTGTTGAATGTATGCATATGATGCTATCCTAACGGAAAGTTACCGCAGCATAAGGCATTAATATTGATATGGCAGCGGATTAGAGATTGTCACTTAAGGCTTTCTATGATCTTTTAAGTACTCAGTCTGAAGGAAAGAAAAATCTTGGTTTTACTCATCAAGACCTAAAGAATTACCTCCGTGAAAGGAGGCAACGAGACTTGAGGTATGGTGAGGCGGGTAGTTTGTTGAAGTATTTTCAAACAGAAGCAGTGAAAAATCTATCATTCTATTATGGAGTGCAATCAGAGGAGCATATTACTAATATTTTTTTTGGCTGACCCAGTGATGATTATTGACTATGTCAACTTTGGAGATGTTGTCTCATTTGACACTACTTTCAGAATGAACAAGGAGTATCGATCATTTGCTTGTTTTATTGGCTTCAATCATTTCAGGGAGACAGTCTTACTTGGAGCTGTATTATTATATGATGAAACGACAATATCATTTCAGTGGTTGTTTGAGACATTCCTACAAGCTATGTCTGGAAAATATCCTATTATCATCTTCACTGACCAAGATCAAGCGATGACTAAGGCTATTTCTATAGTCATGTCAGAGACATACCATGAGTTATGTACTTGACATCTTTTCCAAAATGCTTTGAAATATTTGGGGAACATATATAAGGATAGTTCTCAATTTCCTACTCAATTTAAAGAGTGTGTATGGATATTAGGAAGAGCATGAATTATTTGAGGCTTGAGAATTGTTGCTTGTGGAGTATAATTTGCATGATAATATGTGGATGAAAGTCACTTGGGCATTGCGAGAGAAATGAGGGCATGTGTATATGAAGAGGACTTTCACTGCAGGAATGAGAAGCACTCAATTGAGTGAGAACTTGAATGCAGCCTTACGGAAGTTCTTAAAGCCAGACCATGACATTGTTCAATTCTTTGTACATTTTGACAGAATTGTGAATGATAAGCGGTATAAGGAGTCAGACTCAGAATACCAAGCTAGGCAAAAAATTACCTAGATTGAAGTTAAAAAGAGCTCCAATGTTAGTGCAAGCAAGACAAGTGTACACTCCTACTATGTTTGACCTATTCCAAGAGGAGTATGATATCTTTCAGTGTGCTATTGTGACACCATGTGATGTGTTGGATGGGTGACATCAATTTGTGATTTGATTATATGATGAACATAGAGAGTATTTGGTCGTGGTTAAAGCTAATGAGGAGAGAGTCAATTGTAGTTGTTGGAAGTTTGAAATGGAGGGAATATTGTGTGGTCATGCACTTAAGGTCTTGGACATGATGAATATCAAACAAATTCTCGAGCAATACATATGTAAGAGATGTAGACGAGATACAAGAAAGAGTTCTATGACAACCCCCATTTTAATGTCAAATGAAGAGAATCTCAAGTTAATGGTGGCGTCACGTTACAGGCAACTTTGTCCTAGAATGGTACAACTAATTGCTCGATACTCTGGTCTTCAACCTGCATATCAATTGGTGTCACATGGTGTTGAGGAATTGTTCAAACAAGTGGATAGTATGTATGCATCAATTGGTGATGGTGGCAATGATTCAATCCATGTAAATGTTGACCTAATCCAGGAAAATGTTGACCCAAGTGGAATAGAAATTGTTGACCCAAACCTTTTCCAAGTTAAAGGTTTAAAAAGAAAAAAAAGGTGGTTACAAGGGTTGGGGTTGACTAAAATCTTGGCATGAGAAAGCAGCAAAGAGAAAAAAAAGTAGTTTCTCAACCATTACATATTGTAGATTTTTTAAATTCACTTCATATTTTTATTCACTTTATATTTTTATTTACTTCATATTTTTATAAACATAATTGTAAATATTTTTTTATTCCAGGTACAAGGTTTTAGTTACCTGTGTACATCAGCATATGGTCATTCGATGTCTTCTCAAGCTTCAAATAATGCACAAGGTGTTATGATATGTTACCTTATTGTTAATTTTATTGTTTCACATATTTATCAAGTTTTTTTGTGTGATCCTTTCTCATTAATGTAGGGTACTCTGACTGATTCAACACATGTGCATTCTTTAAACAATATTGAATCATTTTTTATGCATGGGGGATACAACTTCTAAGGATGCAAATGGAGGCTATTCAATTTCTCATTTTGTTGAAAACTATTTTTTTTTAATGAGACTACTAGCAGTTGTATGAATGTTTGTTGTATTTTTAATGAATCTGATCTTTGTTTAATGAATGTGATCTTTTTTGATGAATATGATCTTCCAAGTCACAATAATATACAAAACCCACAATTTCATTCAAATTAAACGCACAAGTTCATTTATAACACAAGTTTCATCACTAGACCATTGTTCTTATAGCTCTACTTCACTAGAATCACAAATATAAGTATCACCACTACTAAAGTGACTACAAATATATTTGACTTCATTGAACCTTCTTTAGCCTCAACACATTGAACTACATTACAAAGTTCTTCAATTCATCATACATTGTCTTCAATTCGTTGTACATCTATCCTCTCATTTGTAACTTCAAAGAGGGGAGAGTAATAAGAGTCATCCAATTAAAAAAGTGATTGGGGTCGTTTGGACATTTGCAGCATAGTTTTCCAAGATTTTTTTCAAATTTGAAAACTTTGATAATCGTTCTTTTGCTACAAATGGGGCAATGCATATTACGATATCTTAACTCTTCGTTATTTGTTGTCATGCTTGAAGATGTTATTCTTCAACACTACAAACATGAAAGGACAATTGTATTAAAACTCAACATTATAGCATAATGAACTTCATCAAAATGACATTCAACATAATGAGCTTCATCAAAATGATATACAACCCATTTATCATTCTCATTCCTCTATGGCACATACATGTAACTGGACTGATTTTTTGATTTATTGCTGGGATTTTCGAGGATAACTGATGGGGGTATTGGTGCTTGATGAAATGTGAACTTTTGCTTAGCTGCTGTTAGTAGTAGTTGAGTTATAAGGTCAAAAATGTAGAGGAGTTTATTTAGCAGCTGGAGGATGCACGTCAAAATTTGGGCTATTGCAGGCAGTCTGTTCTTGTGTAGGCAGTCTGTGTTTGCTCAGCTTGGAAAGTGCTTGGTTGGGGATGCTCAGCTTGGAAGGCAGTCTGTTCTTGGTTTCTTGCTGATGCTGCTAAACTGTGTCTCCAAATCAAGCATACGAGAAAAACTAGGAAAACAGTGCCCACATAATTGCTGTCATTAAAAACATCACCAAAATAAGGTGATTGAGTCTTGTTCAAGCATTTTCACTAAACATAATACAGGGCATACAACCAAATTCACAAGGTTGATTGGATTATATTTGTTCTCCAAACTCCAAAGAACTTGAGACAAGCCCATTCCATTTCACATACCACCTCAAGTAATTTTAAAAATTCCAAACATAAAAGTGGTTTCTAAGACCCTACCCTAAAAAGGAAATTTGTAGCAAACATGAAGCATATAAAAAAATATGGTTAAAACAATGTAGCCGGCTAAAGATATATAGTTTGAATCCTGTATATAAAATCTTGAATATATGCTTTAATTTCCATCTATTGTTCGATTTGTGGAATGATTCC